CCGAGGGCTGGGCGCCGGGCGCGCGGGAGCCGCCCCCCGGCCGCGCCGGGTGGATGCGGAGCCGCGCCGGGTGCATGGATTGTGCTCGGGCGCCGGGCTCGGGCTCCGGGCCATGGCGCCGCCGCCGCCCGCGCTGCCCGCGCTGTTGCTCCTGGCTGCAGCCGCCGCCCTGCCGGTGTTGGGGCTTCGAGCGGCCGCCTGGGAGCTGCGCGTGCCCGGCGGGACCCGCGCCTTCGCCCTCGGGCCCGGCTGGACCTACGCTCTGGACGCCGCGCGCACCCCCCGGGCCCTGCGGGAGCTTCTGGACGTGAGCCGCGACGGGCGGCTGGGGGCGCGACGGCGCGGGCCGGGTGCGGGGCTCCGGGGCTGCGCGCGCCTGGAGGGACGCCCGCTGCCGCTGCAAGTCCGTCTGGCGGCCCGTGGCGCCCCGACATCGCTGAGCCTCCGCCTGCGGGCGAGCGCGCACGGTCCCGGTTGCCGCACCGGGCTCCGGCAACGACGGGCCCCCAGTGCGGAGCTGCGCGCGCGGGCTGTGCTCACGGTGCCCGGGCCCGGCGCGGCCCTCTGCTTCCCAGCCCCTGGCGGTGGCGGCGGCGGCGGGGCCGCGCTGCACTCGGCGCTGGCGGCCCTGACCACGTTCCCAGCCTGCAGCTGCTCGCCGCTGCCCGGGTCCCGCTGCCCACGCCGCCCAGTCTGCCTACCGCCCGGAGGCTCGGCTCGCCTGCGCCTGCTGTGTGCCCTGCGGCGCGCGGCCGGAGCCGTCCGGGTGGAGCTGGAGCTGGAGGCGGCCGCGGGGACGCCCTCCCCGTCGCTGTCACGGTCGCAGTCGCTGCCAAGCCTACCCCAGACGGCGATCTCGGCGGGGGCGGCGCGTCGGGCCCGGCGGGGCGCTGGCGGCGGCGCTAGCCCGCAGTTCCCGCTGCCCAGCTACCAGGTGTCGGTGCCCGAGAACGAGCCGGCGGGCACCGAGGTCATCGAGCTGCGCGCCCACGACCCAGACGAGGGCGAAGCGGGGCGCCTGAGCTACCAGATGGAGGCGCTGTTTGACGAGCGCTCCAACGGCTTCTTCCTCATCGACACCGCCACGGGAGCGGTGAGCACGGCCCGCCCGCTAGACCGCGAGACCAAGGACACGCACGTGCTCAAGGTGAGCGCGGTGGACCACGGCTCGCCGCGGCGCTCGGCCGCCACCTACCTCACGGTCACGGTCAGTGACACCAACGACCACAGCCCCGTCTTCGAGCAGTCCGAGTACCGCGAGCGCGTGCGCGAGAACCTCGAGTTGGGCTACGAGGTGCTGACCATCCGCGCCACCGACGGCGACGCGCCCTCCAACGCCAACATGCGATACCGCCTGCTGGAGGGGGCCGGGGGCGTCTTTGAGATTGACGCGCGCTCTGGCGTGGTGCGCACACGGGCGCCGGTGGACCGGGAGGAGGCGACGGCGTACCAGCTGCTGGTGGAGGCCAACGACCAGGGCCGCAACCCGGGCCCGCTCAGTGCCACGGCCACCGTGCGCATCGTGGTGGAGGACGAGAACGACAACTACCCTCAGTTCAGTGAGAAGCGCTATGTGGTTCAGGTGCCCGAGGACGTGGCTGTGAACACGCCTGTGCTGCGCGTGCAGGCCACAGATCGGGACCAGGGCCAGAACGCGGCCATACACTACAGCATCGTCAGCGGGAACCTGAAGGGGCAGTTCTACCTGCATTCGCTGAGCGGGAGCTTGGACGTGATCAACCCGCTGGACTTCGAGGCCATTCGGGAGTACACGCTGCGCATCAAGGCCCAGGACGGGGGCCGGCCTCCTCTCATCAATTCGTCCGGGCTGGTCTCCGTGCAGGTGCTGGACGTGAACGACAACGCCCCCATCTTCGTGAGCAGCCCCTTCCAGGCAGCGGTGCTGGAGAATGTGCCTCTGGGGCACTCGGTGCTGCATATTCAGGCCGTGGATGCAGACGCGGGTGACAATTCGCGGCTGCGCTATCGCCTGGTGGACACAGCTTTGGCCTCCGCAGGGGGTGGCGGTGCTGGGTCCCAGGATGCCGCCTGGGCGGGGAACTTCCCTTTCCAGATCCACAACAGCTCGGGCTGGATCACCGTGTGCGCGGAGCTGGACCGCGAGGAGGTGGAGCACTACAGCTTCGGGGTGGAGGCCGTGGACCACGGCTCGCCGCCCATGAGCTCCTCGGCCAGCGTGTCCATCACGGTGTTGGACGTCAACGACAACGACCCCATGTTCACGCAGCCCGTGTACGAGCTGCGCCTGAACGAGGACGCGGCGGTGGGGAGCAGCGTGCTGACCCTGCGGGCCCGTGACCGCGATGCCAACAGCGTGATCACCTACCAGCTCACTGGAGGCAACACCCGGAACCGCTTCGCCCTCAGCAGCCAGAGCGGCGGCGGCCTCATCACCCTGGCGCTGCCTCTGGACTACAAGCAGGAGCGGCAGTACGTGTTGGCGGTGACCGCGTCGGACGGCACGCGCTCGCACACCGCGCAGGTCTTCATCAACGTCACCGACGCCAACACCCACCGGCCCGTCTTCCAGAGCTCCCACTACACGGTGAGTGTCAGTGAGGACCGGCCGGTGGGCACCTCCATTGCTACCATCGGTGCCACCGACGAGGACACGGGCGAGAACGCGCGAATCACCTACGTGCTGGAGGACCCCGTGCCCCAGTTCCGCATTGACCCAGATACGGGCACCGTGTACACCATGACGGAGCTGGACTATGAGGACCAGGCCGCCTACACGCTGGCTATCACAGCTCGGGACAACGGCATCCCGCAGAAGTCTGACACCACCTCCCTGGAGATCCTCATCCTTGATGCCAATGACAACGCACCCCGGTTCCTGCGGGATTTCTACCAGGGTTCCGTCTTTGAGGACGCTCCACCGTCAACCAGCGTCCTCCAGGTCTCTGCCACCGATCGAGACTCGGGCCCCAATGGCCGCCTGCTCTACACTTTCCAGGGTGGGGATGACGGCGATGGGGACTTCTACATTGAGCCCACGTCCGGTGTGATTCGCACCCAGCGCCGGCTGGATCGGGAGAACGTGGCCGTGTACAACCTTCGGGCCCTGGCTGTGGACCGGGGAAGCCCAACGCCTCTTAGCGCCTCAGTGGACGTCCAGGTGACCGTCTTGGACATTAATGACAACCCGCCGGTGTTTGAGAGGGACGAGCTGGAGCTGTTTGTGGAGGAGAACAGCCCAGTGGGGTCCGTGGTGGCGAGAATTAGTGCCAATGACCCCGATGAAGGCCCCAACGCCCAGATCATGTACCAGATCGTGGAAGGCAACGTGCCCGAGGTCTTCCAGCTGGACCTGCTGAGCGGGGACCTGCGTGCCCTGGTCGAGCTGGACTTTGAGGTCCGGCGGGAGTACGTGCTGGTGGTGCAGGCCACATCGGCCCCGCTGGTGAGCCGGGCCACGGTGCACATCCGCCTCCTGGACCAGAATGACAACCCGCCCGTGCTGCCGGACTTCCAGATCCTCTTCAACAACTACGTCACCAACAAGTCCAACAGCTTCCCCACCGGCGTGATTGGCCGCATCCCCGCCCATGACCCCGACCTCTCGGATAGCCTCAACTACACCTTCCTGCAGGGTAACGAGCTGCAGCTGCTGCTGTTGGACCCCATCACCGGCGAGCTGCAGCTCAGCCGGGACCTGGACAACAACCGGCCGCTGGAGGCGCTCATGGAGGTGTCTGTTTCCGGTGAGTGGCCGCTGCTGGGGCTCCCGCTGGGCCACCTGGGGAGCTGCGGGGACCTGCTAGGGGCCTGCCCAGCGTGCCAGGACGCATTCGGGCAGGGCCCGGGCAACACTTTGGAGATTTCTGGCCTCTGGTTGGATGGCTGGATGCTGCGAGCTGGGGGTGTGCTCCCCACCCCGGCCAAGGCCAAGGGAGTGGGAGGGTACAGCACTGCTTCCCTCAGCATTTTTGCTGGGAGCAGGCCTGGGCTTCTTCAGGTTCAAGACCAGGGCTTCTTGGCGCTTTCCTCAGCGGGCTGTGGTTCCTGAGTTGTGCTATTAAAACCTGGTCTCCAGGGTTATCTGAGTCATCTGGTTGGCTTGGTGATGCTATGCAGTCAGCCACACACCTGTCTGGAAAGATTAGAGGTCACTCGCCCATCCCATGTGCCAATTAGTTCCCGGGTGGGACCGTTGGAAATTGCTGGATGGGTCCCTGAGTCACCCTGTAATACAGCTGGAGTCACTGCCCTTGGTGTCTCTTGTCTGTCTCCTCCAGATAAAGCAATCGGGTTATGTGTGCTCTGTGTGGGAGCGCTTTGAAAAGCGTAGTGGCGTTTGATCTTGGCTTCTGCTCCTGGACATGGGCTTCCCGTTGGGGTGTTACTTAGAGGCCTGCCCAGGTCGCTGGTGCAGCCAGTGTGGGAACCCACCTGGCCTGCCCTGGGCTGGAGGTGAGCAGAGAGGGAGAAAGCCTCAGCTCAGGCGGCCCAACGCTTGGCAGCAAAGAGTTGGTGCCCGCCCGTGTGCCAGACAGGGCCGGCGGGCCTGGGGAGAGGAGGACAAAGGGCGGGGGTGGATTTGGGAGACATGGAAGACAGAAGGATTTGGCAGGGGCATGGGGGTGGTGGGGAACAATAAAGGGACCCCCAGCGGCTCCTCAAGCGGGTCTGCCTGTGGATGTGATAGGCTGGTGCGGGTGAATTAATTCTGAGACCAAACTACCACCAAGACAGGCTCCCATCTGTGGGCCGTTTGAGTCACTGAGTTGTTTAAACAGTAAATTCTTCGGACACGGTATCACCGCGGGAGCCCTGGGAGAATTTAAAAAGTTTATTTCCTGACTTGTTTTGTTTCCACGGTTGGCTATAATTCTTTATATACTAAGGGTGGGCAGCAAACAGGTTTCAGTTTGCTTATAAGATCTGGACCTTCCCGTTCTGTTTGGAAGGGAGGCGTTACCTTCAGCACAGCTTTTAGTAGCACCGTCTGTCTGTGGGTGACTGTTTTAGGGTTTGTGAGGTTGTGAATGTGGGCAGAGAATATGGAATAGCCCCTTAGGGAGAAATGTTAACCAGGGTAGTGGATAGCCTGAGCAGTGACAATAAAAAAGAGGATCTCTTTCCTGAATGTCCATTTGCATTTTCTTATTTTTTACCTGCTAGATAAAGCAGAGTCGGGGACTGTAGCCCATATAAACGTGCCTTGGCAGTTTCATAGCGTTTTGATTTTGCGTGAGACGTGGTGCTTTCGTGGCAACAGGTGCATGCTGGGATCAGGGACGTGTTGTTTGTCTGGAGTGTCAGAAACGTGGGCCCCCCTGCGTCCGCCGGAGAACAGGGTTTAGGATGTATGTCGTCCAGAAGAGGTCAGCTGCTGAGGGCCGGCTGCCTCGCCTGCCTGCTGGGCCCACAGCCTGGACCACAGTCACAGGTGGGCTGGGGACTCTGTGCTCTGTGTTGATGCCAGTGACCCAGTTCTGGGCTCTGAATCCTATGCGACACACCTCCTGTAATCAGGCATCGGGGGCTCATGTGTCAACCCTCCAGGTAATAATGATGACCTTTTACTGGGTATCAAGCAGGTTTCTATAGTCTTGTACTTACACTGTCACTTAATCCTCTGGTTACTGGGAGGTGAGTGGTTTTCAGCTGCTGCCCATTTTACAGATGAAGAAACTGAGGCTCAAAGGTGTTAAGTAACTTTCTCAGCGTTACACAGCCAGGGAGAAGGGGTGCCAAGTGTCAAACCTTGATCCAGACCAAACAAGCCTGCCCCTCACACTTAGCTGAGAGAAAGAGTTTCAGAAATTAGTTGCTAAGTTGAATTGTGTCTGTGCCGAATTCTTACTCTGGTTTAAAGCAGGCACCTTTGGGTGCCATGTAACCCTCAGAGCATTTGACAACGATGTCATGCTCTGAAGAAGCAAATCACTGTAAACTAAAAAATCTGTAATTCCAAACAGGAAAGCACTGTGTAGAAGGAAAACACAACGAAACAAGAAGATCAGCCCCTGAATGAACCAGGGTCAGATTCTTAGGTTTTATTATAGAACAATGGGGAGGGCTGCTGTTTCAAACTCATACACTGTTTTCAATGAACTGTTATTGGCTTCCTCCATTTACAGCCATACCCTAAAGCCTCTAATGCATTATTACCGCCCTGGAGGCGCTGCAGGGGACCGGCCCAGATTAGGTTTTGTGGGAGCCTCGCCCAGACGGCTGCTGGGAAGGTGCACCCGGGGGCGGTGCCTGGAGTGCACTTGCTGGGAGGGGAAGGGGGGGCGGAGGGCTGGGGGGAGGGCCTCAGCACAGTCATTCCCACGGGTGTTGATGACTTTACGTAGCCTACCAAGGGAAAAACACACTGCTTGAAAAATTTTGAAATCTGAATATAGGCAAATTCAGGTGACATTTTTGGGTGACATCCAGCTGTACGAGATGTTTATTTTCCACGCGACGGCTTTAGAAGGAGATTTAAAATTCTGTGCGAGGGACTTTTTATTACGAATGTTTATAAAAGCTGCGTCTGCATTTGTCAGCAGTTGGCTAATGACTACTGGGTCTCCCGAGCATTGACTGCTCTCTGGAGTCTTTCGAGATGTTGGTCTTTTGGTGACATTGACGTTTTTCATCCAGCTTGAACGTGTGCGTGCCTGTGGGTTTGGAGCCTGAAGCCGTGCGCTGAGGAACATGGCACTTGGTAGAAAATGGCCCGTGTTTGTGGGTGCTGCAGATCTACCGATGTGGGAGATGCAGCATTTGTGGGGTGAAAATGATTGGTCACCGAGTCGTTCAGACATGTCAGAAAATACTGAAACGGTGAAATAGGCCTGAGTAACCTTTTTGCCGTTTACTTTGGTGGAGAGAACATGGTCTAATGTCGTTCAGGCTTGATAAAGTTTTAGAAAGGATTTGCCTAGTTAAATACAGGATATCGTAGGGACGTTTAAATAGGTGATTGCAAACAAGAAAATAGGCGGTGGCCGTTGTCCCAGGCACCAACTGGGTGCACGGCGTTATGTGCCTTATGTTTGTTTCTGAATTTCGCGGCTTAAACCACTGTATTTGTTGAGCTGGATTCTCTAGCTGCGTAAGGATTAGATGCTTTGGCTGCTAGTTAACCATCTAAGGGCTTCCATAACTCTGGAAATCGTCACTTGCTAACATACTTTCAGAAACACTGGCTCAGAAGCAAAGGAGTGTTTTCTGTTCATTGAACACCTACTGTGTGCCAAGCCTACTATGTGCCAGGCCCCGGAGAGCTGGTGTGGCCCCGTCCCCCCGGAGTTTGGGTGAAGACAGACATGGATAAACGCGTCCTTGGCAGGGGGAACCTGGAGAGGCTGGCTAGGGGTCTGGTAGTCGGTTAGGGGAGGTTCGGGGTCGAGATCGGGGAGGTGTCTGGGCTGCTGTTGGGAAGAGGGCTCCAGGCAGTAAGCACGGAGGGCCGGGCTTGGCCCGGCTCAGCAGCCAGAGAGCGTGGGTGGACAGAGGGGGCGTTTGCGAGGTTAGATGGTCAGATGTGGAGGGCACATTGGGGTCAGTCCGCCCACTGCTCCACGTGCGGGAACCCCCCAGGCACTGCCTGGCCCAGCACTGCACGTTCTCCTCAGCGGCCTCACGAGGTGGGAGTTTCCGTCATTGTTTCCAGCTTATCAAGGGGTGAGCCAGAGCACTGGCAGCCCTGCGCTTTGAACCTGGGACAGGTTCCTGAGCCGTGTTCTCTCAGGCTGTGCTTTCCAGAATAAGCTGACCCTTGGACTGTGAGGATGCTGGCGGAGGAGGTGAGTTTTCTGAGCCAAGGGCCTTGCAGGGGGTCAGCTCTGGGGCGAGACCATGAGACCACTTTTGGACCCCATGCGGCTGGGGCACCTTTCAGATTGCCATGGAGACAGTGTGCAGATCTGGGCTGGGGACACCCGCTGGGGTCACCGCCAGAGGTGGTCAGCAAGGCTGTGGGGCTGACCGAGAGGACAGTCACAGCGGGGGTGGTCAGTGGCCCCTCTGTAGGGGTGTGAGGGCAGCAGGGCTCAGGATGTGAATGATGGAGATGGGGCTCAGGCACAGCCCCCAGGAGCCTTGGCCTGAGTGGCCCGTCAGGCAGGCTGGACCTGCATGAGGCTGGAGCAGGCGAGACCTGGGGGCCGAGGGAGAGTGAGGGTCCTGAAGGGGGTCACCAGCTGGGAAGCCCGAGGACAGAGTTGTGAGCTGGGTTAGACGAGGCCCTTGGTAACCTTCATGAGAGCTAGAGCGGTAGGGGGCTTGGGAGCCCCCATGAGGAGCAGAGGGCAGGAATGAGGCCTGGGTGCCTGAGGCTCAGAGGCAAGGCCGGATGGCCGTGGGGACATGGTGGCCTGGGCTGAGTTGAGGGCCAAGACGAGTTAACCAGTTAATGTGCACAACCATCCCGGCCTGTCCTCGACTCTACGTGCTTGTGCAGGTGTGGGCACTGGCGCCTTTCGGGATCACTGGGCATGGGGGACAAGTGTCACTCGCAACTGAGAGCCTGTGTGGACAGAACTGCAGGACGGGGGGCAGGGACAGTAGCTGCTGCTGCTTGCTGAGTCCCAGGACCTGTGATAGAGAAACAGCAGGGTCAGGGAGGATGAGCAGGCCAAGGCCACCGGTGACCTGGACCCCGGAGGGTCAGGTGCGCCATCTCAGCACTGGCTTCCTGGTGACCTGAGGTCTCCATCTGGCCCCACCTACCAACTAAGGTGACAAGCAGACTAAAGCCCAGGAA